GCTCCCGTAGCCGTACCATTGTACTGAGTTCGATCTGGATAATCGTTAGCGGGCCCGCAAGCTGTAGAGAAATCTAGTAAATTACCAAGTGAGGCAGTAGCAGCGTGATTGCCCCTTGCCGCAGCATCTCGTCCACCCCTGAGACCACCACGACCGCCCCGCGAGCCGCCTCTCGGAGGTATAGGCGTGTTGAACGACACACTAGGTACAAACTCTATAGGCTGCCACTCCTTCTTGCTCCGAGGCTTGCTCGGAGCAGAATCATCCTTCTGCTCCTTCTCGGACTTTCCAGTCTGAACTTGAGCCTTCTGTCCGCTTGCTGCTGTTTCAGGAGTTGGCCAGGACGAAGTGTTATTTGCGGCCGGGCTTAAAGTCTCAAGAGCAGCTTTTTCTTCGCTGTTGTTTAGCCTAGCGCCCCTTGGCGCCGTCCTACGGGAGGCTTGATTGCCATTGCTTCGGAATTGATCGAAGTCCTTCTTGGACTTTGTGTTACCAGACGACGGCCTGCTTTGGGCCGCGTTTGCTTCGACACCTTCGTTCTGGGGTGACTTCTGCTTCTGGTCCTGTGTTGTTGCATTGGACAGTCCGTCAAGTTGGTTTGCTGTGGCGCTGCTGGAACTACGTGGTTGTGTACCTGTGGGGGAGGTGGTCTTGACCTTTGCAGCCCTGGCTTCCTGCCTCTGTGTCCATACGTTAACTGCTGGCACCGGTGCTTCAGATAGCTCTGGCTTAGGAGGTAGATTCTCCTTCTTCTCTTGGTCCTGATCTTGACCAGACTCCTTTTCGGTTGCTCTGCTCTTCTTGCCCTTTCGGCCTCTCTTACCATCCCCACCATCCGTCGTCTGCGAGGTAAGGGTCTGGCCACGCCCTCGCCTCCCGGCACTTTGGGGCACAACTTCACCTAACACTTTCTCGGCGCCCTGGCTCGGTAAGCCAGATAGGTCCGCCGCTTTATCACTGGTGGAGGTAATATCTGAATCGGTGCTATTTAAGCTAACGGATTCGGCCTTGACAGAAGAGCTCCTGGTGTTTTGCGAGCCATCTAATTCATTCGATGTTGTCGATATTGCGACGGAGGGGGCCCGCGTACTAGGTGTAGGGACGACATCGCGACTCTGCGTGCTCGTCGTTGATGGCGCTTGACTCTCCGAACTCGACTGGGACGCAGTAGTAGACTGCATTGTAGTAGGTTGGCCTTTTGCGGCCTGAGCGTATGAAAATGTTGCCGAATTGGACATAGCGCTGCGACTCGACCTGACGATATTCGTATGCAAGTCCTGCAGTTGGGTTGGTTATGCAACAGGGTAGCTTGCAGCTACTGGTCTGTCGCGTACCTTAAATAGACGAGGGGTAAATAATCTGCCCACGTCCACCGACACGCCAGGCGCTCAACCAGCCCTGGAAGCACCTCACCAGCCAAGGGTGGCCCTCCACAAGTATAGATTTAGGTTGATCAAGCTTTCAAGGGTAAATGGAACTCGAGTCGAAGCTCACAGATAGATCAATCAGCGCGGTAGTAGATATAAAATTGGCAATGCGAAAAATCTATCACACCAATAGTAGGGTTTCGCGTTGAATATATTCGCGAAACTGGCGATGGATGAGAGGATGGAGTGCCGGCAAGAAGAAATTTTTTTGCTTCTTATAAAAATGGTCCAATGGTAATTGGGTTATCGATTTTCGAAAGTGAATGCGGGGTGCGATCAACAAACCGCCTAGGCGTAATCCGACTGAGGACAGGGGAAGAAGTAAAAATGAGTATGTGTGATATCGAAGAGGGGGCTTTTGGGGTCAGGTAGAAGAAACTGCAATTTTTGAAATACCCGTCAGCCAGTTACGTGGGTGACCAACAAAGTAGTGTCGTTTAGGTTTTGGAGGATTGAAGAGGGGAAAAAAATCAATGAGAGAAAACGTGACAGTTATCCGAAAGATGACTGTGCTTGGGGCTGCAGCGGATTTTAGTTTGGGAACCGAACCCGATGTGGCCTGACCAAATTCAATCTGCTTAAGTTAGAAATCCCATGGATTTTGTTCTAATTCGTGTTAGTAACTGGACGCTGATCTTGGATGGGCGAGATAAAGGAGCGGTTCGGACCGTAATGGTTGCCCACAGTTTGCGTACGTGAGGGTGCGGGACAGATTTGTTGTGGTACCAGTAGGAGTAGGAGTAAACAGGTGTAGAACAGGTGTAGACGTACTTGAGTTGGTGATGATGGAAGAGAATAAAGTGAGAGTGAATGGTAAATGTAAAAGTAAAAGTAAACGTAAGGGAAGACAAAGCATAAGGTACCTTGTAGAAGCAGGATTTCCAAATTCGCGGAAGCGAAGTGAAGCCTGTGGTGCTTCTTGGATGTGGATTGTCTTCCTTTTTCTCAAGAGTAACTGTACGCGGGGTTGAGAAGTAGGGTTTTAACAAATTGCAAGGTAATAAATGAGGAAGTGTGTGTTTGCAATGTTGTAAGAGTACGGGTGTGTGTAAATGGGTTTATTTTGTGTGCAATGGAAAAAAAATAAAATTTCCCTCTTCTTCTGGTCCCTTGCTAAACGACCTAAGGAAAAAAAAAAATCTAGCTAAGATCGGGTAGCCGGTGGTTGTACGGGTTGAATTTTAAATTTTGAATTTTGTAACCTACAAAAAGGTACGCCTTGGTCCAGATTTAGTTGGAAACTTGCAGCTACCTACTGATGGATGGTGCTTGCTCAGTATAGGGACAACCCTCTACATTAGTATGTACATACAGTACCTATATAGCGTCTGTAAATTTATTTAACCTTTTTGCACGTTTGTTTTTACCTACGTGTATGTACATTGTGTCGCCTCTTTGGGAGCATACCTTAGGTAGGTACCTATTCTCTTCCTCATTTTTAAATCTATTTCCATCTACTATAATAACCGCAGTGTCACTACCTGAACATCCACCTCTAGGAACCCGGGGCAATGTTTGGCAGGTGCCTGATGTGTAGCATGTAAATATGTAGGTACATACATATTAAGGAGGTAGGTAGTTACGACTTGAAGTCGGGTATGGATCTAATACGTGTGGTAAGTACATACCTAACCTTAGGTACCTCCCTGTAGGTAGGTAGGTAGGTAGGTAGGTAGTGAGGTAACTTAGGTAGGTACATGTAGAGGTCTAGGCGGAAAACAAGGTTACATGTTATTTCACGGCTGTTGCTCGGCACGAACATGGCATCTTCTTAGTTTGACGTAGCTTTGTAATACCTGAGGTAATACTTGTAAGTGAATTTTAAACTAAGAAATGAAGCATGACGCTTAGAGGCACTAAATAGTCCACATTATTAAAGAGAATCCGTGGGCGCGTACATGGGCTGCATATACATGTAGTTTGCGGCGGATCCATTACGAGGTGGATGGTAGTGTAAGAATCTTCAGACTTCGAAGACGAAGACGAAGACGGGGACGATCAAGACTGAGGGGATACGAATGTGCTGTCTTGTGTTGCGTCACATTTGTAGCTATACATGTTCACATAGACACTGACAGCTTGACCGGTCTATATAATCAGATGATAAACTCGATGTATAAATCATCTCTGTCATTACATACTACTAGGGAGGTAGTGGTAGCTTATCCGAAAATAAGAGGTCTAATTCCTTGCTGCACTAAACCATAAAATATGATAATCAGCCATGGCTTATAAGTGAGGGGCACAGCAAGCCCACGACCAGACCATAGCCATCACCATACATACCTACATATCTACCTACCTAACCTAGAGTATACGTCTTTCTTTTTTTCTGCCTTGACTTTTTACCGAGTAGAATTACACTCAATTAAAATTATATTTGGGTGCCTGTCTGGATTGCGACGAGTTTATTATACACGGCTTGCTTACCACCTTCTACAAGCAAAACCGATAGATCGGTTATACCTTAGTTTCCCATCTCTCAAACTCGTGTCCAAATAAGGCATGTATGTCTGAGTAGACATGCGTCTTATTCCATATAAAGAAGCTTCTGGTTAGGCTGAAGAGAGGGGTACGCCAATCAGATGCCTTCTTCTTTAATGTCTTCCGTCCGTCCCGTATATATCCCTCGTAGGGCAAGCGGACCTGATAACTCTTTATCATCTTTAAGTTCAAAGATCTTCTATTTTTAAATGACTCATTTATTATTTATCTCTCTCCGCGTGGGGGGTTTGATGAAATCTTTCATTTAGGTAAATAACCACCTAGGTTAGATTGTCTTTTCTTTCTGCTTTGGCCAGACATCCCTCATTCTGCCCCGCGTAAATAGAAATTCCATTTTTAGAACAATAATGGAAGCATGTGAATTGTACTCTCACCTTCCGGTAAACTCTTTTCGATATCGTTACGCGACGTCCATATCGGCCTCTAGATCCCCTTACCGCGTATATCTACGTAGTACCGTAACTATCTCCTAAAGTCATCATTGATTTCCATGCTACCTAGTCTGCCTGAGAACCAACCACAACAGCCATCATGTTGCTCCGCTTTCTCCATTCGATCATCCACTGTATATTTCATATTGTAGATGTACTTACCTCGTCCCTGAACTCGCTCCGTTTCTTCCGCCCACCTTGAAGTTTTTTTTAGAGGGGTTTCTTGGCCTCTTATAATAATATATCACCCGGAATTTGTCTTAGTGATACGCGAGTAATAAGTTAGACAACTATGTATTGCTGCGAGTGAATATTATAGGCATTTATAGTAAAACCTGTGTCTAATTCGAGTCTTGAAACATGTTTCCCGCCGCTACATGTTTTCTTTTCTTTCCCTTTTTACAACTGTCCGGCTCTTTTTCGAATTCATGCTTACTAGGTATTTGCCAACAAATTTTAAGATCGGGGTTTCCCATATCTCCAGGCAAAACGGGGTGCAGGCTCCGAGGACCTTGGCCAAGGTACGCTCAACCCCAACAGGTGGTCCTAAATGAGTAGTTAGGCCTTATCCATGGTGCCCTTTGTGTATTTTCAAGTTTGACACCTATAATAGATGTATACATAAGTAATACAATGTGGCCTGCTTATATCGGATCGAACTCTAGATGAAGCTTCATAGACCGCTCTAGGCGGATTTGTTGATTATGACTTTGCAAATCAATGAACTATATTTTCCTATAGTAAGGCCCCGGTTATACTTTAGTCGAATAATTGATTCATTGTCTTGTACGGAGGTATGTATTAACAATTAACCACTTATGAATATAATGTTCAAGACTTCAAACCACAAATCAATATGGAGAGATATAGGCAATGCCAATGCTCTACCTTCGCCCCCATTAACTTTGTAATTGATTTTCATGCTGGCAAATAAATTCCAATCATCGTAACCTGTAAGTGAGACTAATAGACTTCTAACTGCAATACAAGCGAAACACAATAATATGCAACAAATGGGATCTAGCCAGTCATCCATGTAGCCGCCCTCCGCGCTCCAAAGCTGGTAGCTAGTCGAAGACCACTTGAGCCCATCGGAAAGTAGCTGATAAGGTACCAGAGGAGGCATACAATCTGAATGACTGCAGCTATCAACGTAAGAAGACCACTGTGGAGCTGTACTGGGTTAGCCGCCTCGATCTTGCCCTGGAGTAGGTGATTAACGACTTACACCCATGGAGAAGTAGATAGTCAGTGCAATGGATCCGAAGTAGGCTGCCGTGAAGGGCAAGCGCGTTCCGGATGCTAGATGTTGAAGGTACGCCATAGGGCCCATCATAGCCGCGAAAGAACAGAGAAATAATATAGAGCCAAAGGTCCATCTAGGGGACAAGATACTGTTAGCATGCTATCCTCGAGTTGCACACCGTCTGCACAGAACCTGAACAAGGCCAAGAAAACGTCGTAGAAAGAAGGTTCGATCTACCGGCTGATCACCCGTGTCGTTATGCAAGATTGATATATATGCAGCAGCGGCTGCTTGCAGAGATCTTCATCTTATCTAGAGTCTTATGGGCGCCATCTTTGACCACAAGGACAAAATAGCAGGGGTAGCAGAAATTAAGAAGCTAGGAGAGTCTTAGCCTTACAAGATAACGAATTTGCTAGGCTTGGTCACGAAGACCGGCCACAGAACGAAGCAGAGCAGAAAGCAGATGAAAGCAGCCAGGTTACAGGCACCGAATATTAACAGCCGGTCCCACCGGCTCACTAGGTAGAAGAATCGAGATTTCAAGTTAGTCCAGAGGAATAGCTACGGTGGGTCGTTGCGTCCATGTGCGAAGGTAAGACAACATGCGCGCCGCGCGGAAGACGCACGTGGTGTCAACCATTAAAGGTCCGCTGAGAGGTCTGCTGCAGGGGAAACCATAGGTCTAAAAACAAGGACGAGGACGACTCACGGATAAACCAGCCTTCCTCCTCTTCACGACGGTTGCTAGCTGGCAGTGGAGCACCAGCGCCTTCCGTGGTGGGTAGTTGTACATATCCGCGGTCTCCAAAGGGGTTCAACGACTGTATCGATGATAGTAGTCCGGACCGCTGTGACGTATTCGCTGTAAATTCTCGGTCTGGGTCACGGCGCGACCACCCTAAGGAGTTCATGGATTCCCTAAAGGATGCAGACGCCATCGTATATAATATCTCTCGCTCGTTGGACTTCAAGTCGACAGTATCGGGTTCCGGGATCGTTCGGGATCGCAAAGGAGGGCGATTTCGGTCTCGGTAGGTATGTGTATGCGTATGGTTTGGAGATATACGGGGCGGATCGTGCGGGAGATGCTACTTCGTAGTGGATGTTACTATGCGTCAAATGACCCTTCTCCTCTCGCGTTGGAGCTGGATAGTGCTAAGGAAGGAGGCTGTGGGTTGATGGGAGATGAGATGCGTCGATGCGTCTAGGTAGTTGATGTCGCGTTTAAGAGGCGCTAAAAATGAGGTGTGGTGGAGAGTGCGTAAGTAAAACCTATGCATCAGCCAAAGCCATGAGCCACACAAGCACAAATACGGTTGGTAGTCTGTGCGAGTGGGGCCGCTAGCATGACATTCGGATGTACGTCATTGGTTCCCTTACCTGCATGTGGCTTCAAATTGATCCCGCTAAAATGGGACCCGCTCAACCTTGTCCTACTTATACCTTGTATTTTGTCTGAAGATAAAAGTCGGGCACTGCACGCTTGCATACCCGGTACATAGATGTTTAATATAAAGTGGTTCTTGCTTTTATAAAAGTAAAGATGCTGGTATACTCGGGTGTCTTTAGAATATTATCCTGGTCGTTATACCATAAGAACACAATAATTTCTAATTTCGTTCAAAGAGTTGGCATAAACGCGTAATTTGCGAATATCGTTATAGCTTAACTATTCCGTAAATATTTGCGAGTTATGTGGTTTGTTAACGCAACTCGCTAATCTGCTTTCTACTCCTCGTAAATCTAATCATCCGTCTACTCCGCAGGTGGACGGATGCAATACCCCCCCTATCAGACAGACATTCCGAATTGTCGACATAGTACGATGTTGATGTAATGTAATATATACGCAAGTTTTAATGGTCGCGTAGATTCGATGGCTAGGCGCTTGCGTATAGGTACCACATCTATATACATAAACATACACACACAGAAGTCTACCTACCTTGCTTATCATTAAGGTGTGTTAGAAGCAACGCATCTTATTGGTGGGAGGCACCTCAGTCATCTAAACTTGGGATATACCTCTCCTGATGGTTGCAAGACTGGTCAACTTCTTGAAGCAGCGGAGAGCGCGGCTAAGCAGGTTGTAAAATATTAGTCAAGGAGTAATGCTTGCTAATATAGACTTAGGTCTCACGTAACTAATATCCTCAAATTCATTGATTAAATTTGACCAAGTTTTCATTTTCAATGTGCGGTGTGTTTATAGTATGTTCAGTGTTCAGTGTTCAGTGTTCAGTGTTTCTCAAGACAAGCCTTACCTGTCCATTTGAAGCATCAGCTAGGTCCCGTTATTGTTAGGCCGCTGGGATTGCCAATCACGCACCGTGCCGAACGGACGCTATCCAAACTTTATTAACAACCGCCCACGGTGCTGGATGCGCTACGAAAATGATTGGCTCCCACTGTCAATGCTGGGGATGCACCGATGCACCGATGCACCGATGCAGAAGCCGCGGATCGTCATGGGGAAGAGGCCGGCAACATTTGGGAACCTGCAGCCTTAAGTTACATCGGAGCGGTCGTCGGTCGGCAGAGGCCAAGACCTACTTACTCCCATACCTACTCCACCTACCATAGCTTCCGTTCACGTCAACCTGCTGCCATTCTACAGAGCATGTAGGTTCCAAGATCTACCCCTCCATCTTCAACAGATCATACTACGTTGTATGCAAAAGAGACTATTCTACCAACCGCTATGACCTCATCGCCTTCGTATTGAGATGAACATATCTCAGAAACGCTGCTGCCGCGCAGGACTCTAGAATATTAAAGGTTTCAAAGCTACATGCATTCATCCTGTTATAAGCAGATAGCAGATGTAGCCCCATCTACACACCATGCGGCTCGCATGACTATCCCTGCACGCTGCACGGGAAATTTGTAATGGACTAAGCTTAGAAAGTACCGTTTGCGCAAATGCTGCACCCCGCCATCAGTAGAAAAGAAAGACACTTGAACGCGAACTCCTACACGAGTTTCTAAAGCGGGTGCCTTACGCAAAGAGCCAGATCTCGCAGTCCTCGGTCAGCCTACTAACTGATCCAGGGCATGGCCTCAATGACTGTGACTCACAATAGGGATCATGCTGACAATTTCTAAGGTTTCTACCCGCCCGGATTTCTTAAAATCCCATGTCTTCGACCACACTTTCCGATAGATCCTCGTTCTATCCTTGGGCCAAAATAAGGAGGGCACCGTGTCTCACCTAGGTGGGTGGGTTGGCTGACTTCGGCCGGGTCACGAGTCTAAGTGCCGCCCACCCTTCCCCTTTTGTCTTTCGCGAACAGGGGCCCCTCTTCATTACAATATTCCGACGATAAGATAAAGCTCAGTTGCGCGGTTCGCGGTTTAGGATGGAGTGAGGTAACTTCGTATGAGTCCGGTGAGAGTTGGGAGAGACACCTCTTTCCCCCTACCCTCCTACACACCATTATCAGTTCAGACGGGGCGATTTCCAAGTTATACCAAGTCATAGGACGCATGAATAACCTGCTTGAATAGAATAAGGTAAAATGAGATGTGGTTTGGGGGGTTTGTCATCTCACCGGGGGGTATTTTTAGACGTACATAGACATTCGAATATAAAAGCTATGCACCCCACGCCCATAACCCAATGAATGAATATTCCTGTCATCTCGACGATTGTAATTAATCAACAGGGCTGACACGACTAATTTCTAATTTATGGAACGGCTTCCTACCAACAGAAGAGGCTAATAATATTCTGATTATATTCAGTGGATTACTCCCGGGTGTAAGCTGAAAGACATCTATCAAGAAACAACACTCTGTCAACTATCGAGAGGATAATAGAGACAGCCAGCAAGCAAGCAACCAAAGTTGGACGACCTAAGGTTGTTATTTTGGACTCTTCCTCTAGCAGGACCGTTAGAATTACGGCATAGACACAGACGCGATCGACCTTGCAGGAGATCTGATCAGGGATTCGACAGACCCCCCGCGGAACCTGTCCAGATAAATACACGACAAATTCCGACAAGTGCTTGGTTTACATGGACGATATTGCCTGTTTATACTGGACTATCTCGACTTCTTCGTCCAGACCACAGCATTACACACTCAGCAATACAGAACGATTAATACGACAGCACGGGCAAACCGGAAGGCCGGAGATCTGGTCGGTAGTATCTAAAGGATATCTTGGAACGGTACAAAAGCTCCGACAGGACACGATCTCACTCTGTCGGCTGCTATCCTCAACTATACGACATCTGACCCTCGTTCGAGAAAGGTGGCTAAGTTTGGATCGTTTGGAACCTTCAGTATAGACGATCGGAAGCCGCAATCGTTAAGTGCTGCATGTGCCTTCATACATAACTGGTTAAGGGCACACGCTAGGGTCTAGCACTATCACTCACTAGCATCGAGAGCTATCTTTACACCCTACACCACCCCTAGCAACTTCCCTAGCAACTTCCCAGCAAGTTGCAGCACCACTGCGCAACCCCCCCTACATAGTACACACCTAAAAGTCAGCCAAAAGTTACCAGGTGTCCGCCCAAGGGTCTCTAAGCCTTTGTAAGCAACCAATCAATTGTCCGAGAGCGACAGGGAAGGCACATAAACGGTGCACTTGCATTGGCTTGTATTACCCTGTTCACCTTGCGCTATCCCAAGTTCTTTCCCACCTTGTCCAACATCAAATCGAGCAGTTACTTACATAGTACAACTTGTTCTCACTCGAGACCGCCTCCTGCAAGTTCCAAAACTTACCGCACGATTCCTTCTAGCTCGCATTTTCCCAACCATAAGTTAGGCAACTGGATTTGTAGGTCCACGATCTGTCAAATCCATCTGTACTACAAACAATTCTGTGCGGCCATCCTCGTCCAGTCGAACCTATCAGCACCTCTTGGTAGTTCCTCCTCGTATAGGACTTTAACCCCGGTGCTTTCGGCTCGAAGCTTCGCCCACAGCTACCTGCTACCAGCTACCAGCCAACCTACGCCCGCTCCATCTGGAAGTACATATGTATACGGGAGAGAGAGCTGACAAGAACTGCCCTACCAACGAGCTCTTCGCTACTAATAAACCAATAACCTTGCCATTCTTGCCAACCGAGTTCACCCAACCCAGGCTAGGCCACCTACATCTTCCCTCTAGTTCAAGGACTTGAACACATACATTTGTACCTTCGGCCTTTACCGCCTCGATTCCTAAGAATCCTAGGGTCCTCTTCCTCTTACACATATAGGACGAACATTCCCAACACCTGCCTTTCCCACACATCCAGCCGAATTTCCCTCTGTCTACTCTTTGATCCATATGGTCTGCTAGTCAGTCGCTTTGCGCTTCGGACTAGTATTTTGATCTGATATACGATTTATCACCTCTCGTGCAACTAGCCACACTTAATAAGAGCCGACTAATCCCGGCGTCACCTCCATGCTTACGGTCTGACAAGTCTCGTCATTTTTAACCTCTTCGTACGCTACTTAGGTGTTACCTTCCGTACCCTGCAGTTCATTGCTTTTCTGAGGTCAGAATCGCCGTCATCGAGGTTTACCGGCATTGCCTCGGTCGTCTTTCACATCTTACTGGTGTAGGGATTATAGCGATACCGCCTTTCAGATCCGACGAGGCGCAAAATATCTCTTCACTACATACCTATCCCCGAGGAAGCCAAACTTTACTTCTTTTTTTCCTCTTCCTTTTCTTTCCCACAAAGTAAAGCGCTTACTCAAACCGACCAATAAACTACACCAACGTCCATTGTTGGCCATGCGTATTCATTAACCTGTACGTATACCTTTACTTATTCATTCATTCCTCTCCGCATCTCGGACATCCCGCGTCCGACTCAATAGAACAAGGGACAAAAGTAGGAAAAAGGAATGCGAAATGAAAAAAAAAAAAAAATCTATGCGCAAATTTCCTACTACAATTTGACTTGATTTACTCTAACCAAAGATGCAATAGATATACCTCAACGCCATTCTACGTCCCGCACCCGCACCCCCATCTATATAGCTTGGATTCCACAAGATATTTTATCTAGGCGACACATTCGCGCAACGTTGTCTATTATTCATCTGCATGGCTACGTAATCTGTGGCCAACGTTAAGAAAGACGGCTTACACGACTTCGTGCATCTTTTACCCGAGGTAGATAACATATTTCTTTTTGTATTCTTGTTACATCAACGCCCTACAACATTGGCGGCTGCCTTCTATTAATATCAGTTAGGTACTTCCAGTGAGCTGAGTCTCCTCGGTGTATCAAGTTGTATCAACCCATAGTGTACCTTGATGCTTCCTTGCCCCACACACATCCCACTCCTCCCACTACTCTTCACTTCCTTCCTCCTTACATACCCACTCGTCAAACATATGTAGATGCGGGGCTGACTCTGTCCTCGACAGAATAATTATACCAGACTCCCAATTGCCGACCATATTCGACAGGGCACAATAGCCTCACATCTACTTCGCCACTGCTATAGTCCGACAATAGCTTGAGGAGCTACATATAACTGATCAACTATCGACATTTATTATTACTATTGTCGTTGTTTTCTTCTTTAGTCTTTTTTGATATTTACCAATCCGACGCCGGACGCAATGGCACAACACGCCTTCAGCCAGTTTGGTGGCGGCCAGAACGCTGGCGGCGCCAACGGCAGTGTCGACCCGAACGATCTAGCGATGTCCGGGACATACGCAGCCTCATACTCGAACAATTTCAATGGAAATAATAATTCCTCCAATTTCTTCGGCGATGACGAGTTGCTCGACACCCTCGGTAGCCCGACGGATCCTATGTCCAACCAACCCGGTATGCACAATCAAGGCCAGGATTTCGGTGGCATGAACGAGATGAACATGGGTTTTCCGCATGGCATGTATCCATCACATCAAGGAAGCCACGGCCTGCCCATGGAGCAAAACCACATGAACGGTTATTCCAACACGCCGGATGGCGATCCTATCCAGAGCCCGTTCGTCCATAGCTTCAACCAAGCGCAATTCCATCAGATGCAGCAACAACATCAACAACCATTTGGAAACTCTCTTCAATCGCCCATATCATATTCTGGCTCTCCTTTGACCGGTTCCGATCCGAACAATGAAAGTAGTGATCCCAATTACCTAAACGCCAAGTCCCGCCCTCAGCTCTCCAACATGCAGCGCAAATCATCGAGTACCCGAAGCCCGCTTACACCCAAGACTGCCGCCATGTCCACATTATCCGTGAACTCCCGGGAACAATCAGGATTTGGCGCCCAGCCAATTCGAACTACCAACGGCCATCACGAGAAGTCACCTTCGGGCCAATGGATACACACTCCCAACAGCCTTTCTTCCTTCCCCGGATCAGGCTTCTCCTCACCTATGCAACACGGTATGCAAAACCCGCAGATTGCGGATGTGCTACTTAAGGGCGGCACTTCTATGCCTACCAAATTAAATACGCCACCGAATGCAGTTTCGTCGCAAGAGATGAAGAGGAAGCGACGTCGCGAATCACATAACCTTGTTGAGCGACGGCGCCGGGACAATATCAACGAGAGGATCCAAGATCTAAGCAAACTCGTTCCAACGCATCGATTGGAAGACGAGAAAATTAGGAAGCTCATACAAAATGGCACGCCATTATCTCCTAGCCTAACCGGAATGTCTCACCCAGCGCAGGCCACCTCGGGATTAGCCGGTCCAGGCGCAAAGCGAGCTACTGGGGTGGGCAACATTACCACCGGCCTTCCTCTCGAAGAGAAGGACAAGGGCCCCAACAAGGGGGATATCCTCAACGGGGCGGTTAGCTGGACAAGAGACTTGATGTGGATGCTGCACCTTAAGCTCCAGCAACAAGAAGAACTTATCAACACCATCGTAGAACTCGGTGGCAATGTCCCACTTGGACTCACGGATGATGAGAAGCGAATGCAAACGGAATTGATGGAAGCAATGGCCAAGAACGGCCCGCATACCTTTTCATACTCTCGCTTTGCTGGATCGGGTCTGCGAGTGCCTCAGCACACCGACTACAGAGGGGACTCCTTGAACGGGTCAGACAGTGCGATCGCCGCTACCTCCGTGAGCCCCGATGGTCGAGATGGCGTAGATCTTGCAGCGGATATGGGCGATGCCGGCCAGTTCTGGAATGATCCGGATGATGACGACAGCGGCCCCGCGTCGATTAACTTCAAGGAAGAGGATGAATTCGGGATGGATCTCTCACACGATTAGTGATCTTTGGGCGTTTTATACCCCTTGCATCATCACAGCATTTTCTGGTGTTAGTCAAGCCTTTGATTGCTCATTCGATTTTTACTCGTTTGGTCATTGAGCATCATCGCCATCATCACATTTGAGTTCGGGTCTTCGGGCATTTTAGTCAGGGAAAGGATTCACTACTGCATATGGCGGCCGTTTTGGGTGGAATGGACTGGCGTTCTATCTTACATACCCCACGAGACGGTGGGAAACCGGCTCGGGGCAGCCGGGGGTGGTCTATCATTTTCATGGGTTTTGTGTCCGGGACATCCGGAACAATGGAAGGCTCTTTCGCTTGTTTCTTACACACCTTTCCCATGTCGTTTCACATTGTCTTGTCTCTTTTTTCTATGTTCCTTTAGCATCAATCATCTACGGGCTGGGTCTGATTTTCCTTCCAATGATACCTCGAGGGCTGCGGAGTTGGGGGAGGGAGGAACCATGTTTCCGAAATTGCATTCCTTTTCTTTTCCTTTTTTTTTTTTTTTTTTTTTTTTCGCATTTGCATCATCACATTGCTGATCGGGGAGTTCAATTTTATTTTATTTATCTTTAGGTTCCCACATGTAAGCCGCTGCAACCCGCTCGAAGGCGTGGTCTCGGCATCGTTTAACTTGTGTATTCGTTGACCCCCGAAATGGGAACCCGATCTGGAGAGAGGGAGAGAGGGAGGGAGGAAGAGAGAGAGAAGACATTCGGAAGGCTGAAAGGTCATATATACGCCGCTAACATATCCCGGGCTATCCTAATATTCCAATACGTTTACTTGCACGATGATATCCATGTATTTGCTTTCATGTGAACTTTTCAATTCGTACTGGTGAATCTACATATTATTTAAAATTATATCCAAGCCGGTAGCTACATAGTACATGTCTTATCCCTGACAATTATGTAGGTAAGACCCGAAGTAGTAACCCGGCTTTCATTTCTTTCGACGTGCCGTACGTTCCCGTTCCTTTTCGTCCGGGCTATTACATAAAGTTCCTACTGATACCTTGTAACTAGTCACGCTATCTACATGTATTACACGACATGTATGTATGTAGATAGGTACCTACGTAAACAAGACTACCAGTGTCTCACGCACAACAGGTACTCGCTCATCGAATTAAGCAAGTTCCACGCGTCGCGGCGCTTCAAGTCCTCGTGCAGGGCGACGCGCTCCAGGGCGTAGCGGCCGTTGAAATATTTCCAGAAATCGGGCCACTTGGCGCGAGGGTTCAGACTTGACGGCCCTGCTCCTTTCCCTTCTTTGCCTTTGTGACCACTGCTGGTGGTGGTGGTGGTGGTGGTGGCAGTAGAATGTGTGATTTTCTCCGGCAGTCTCCGGGCGATGGCAAGTAAGTACCGGGAATCCCGGTCGCCGACACGGCCGGCGTCGGCGATGATATATGGGGTTAAATGTGCGAGGTACGGGGCGTTGTTGGTAGACGGGTGGTCGGTCTGCCGGGGCGGGGGACGGCGGGCATGAGCGGCGGCTTTTTCGGCGGCGGCGAGGTGTGCGCGAGTGGCCAGACGGTCGAGGCGGGCTTGCTCGGCGGCTTGTTCGCCGGTTGTAGTCATCATTGGGGATCTTATTGTTGCGGTGGAGGACGTCATTGATATGGTGCCTGGTAGCGGCGATGATACTGCCGTCGGGCTGATGTTGCCGGCATGGTCGTCGGCAGATGCTGAGAGAGGAGGAGAAGGGGAGTGTGCGTCGTCGGGTGAGGAGTTAGGGGGTGAGGAAGATGCGTGAGAGGAGGACTCGGCGGAAATGTCGGTTGCGATGGAGGCGCGGGCTTCTTGGAGAAGTTCCTCGGCCTCGATCTCGTAGTCGACTTCATACAAGATCTCAGGCCAGACGACGACATACGCGAAGGTGCACAGTTGAGTTACCCAGCCCCCGCGCATGAGCCAGGCCAGCATGGATAGGTAGGTTGGGCGATGGTTTTTGCTAGGCGCAAACAGCTTGTAGGAGCGCGGCGCAGCTGATAGAGCTGCGAGAAACTCGGGAAGAGGGGGTGCAAGGGGGAATGCGCGCGCCCACGTTTGACTAGCTCTTGGTAGCCGGCTCATGTCGCTGTTTGGCGATAGGATATAAATGTCCCGCGCATGTAGGGGTGGGATTGCGATGGCCCGTCGCCAGAAGATGAAGTGTTGTGCGTATTTGCGCACTTGGGCTGGAGAGAGTGCCGTACCTTGACCGATCTGGTAGAATCTGTTTAACATAAGTGTAAATAGGTCTGTCCGTATAAAACTGAGGTTTGAAATATAGAAAAACAGCATCAGCCATGTTCACTTACGACATTGTCGGCTTTGAGAGCCGGACGAACTCGATCATTGCCGCTGTCGTCTCATCTGGATCGGCCTGGAGCTCTGCAATGATCTTTTTCTCGTCGCTCATGAGAAGCAGCGCAAAGTTCTTGTCGAGGAAGGCGGGATCGTTAAGACTATCTTCCTCGACGAATGTGTTTGCGGTGGTGATCCACAAGCCTTTAGAGCCGGCCTCGTCGTCGGGTGGAAGATCAGGGAGGTAGAACGTCACGGGGATCTGAACCGAATGTGTCACGGCACCTTCAGCCGTATCTAGTTGTAAGGCAGCGATCCTGTTGTGGGAGACGGCCTCGTATACATCCTGCATAGATGCTGCTAGGGAGGATATCTCTAGGATGTTTCTCCATAATGAGCTCATCTTGGTCCCTACGCATACTTTGTCAGCTTACCAATTCGTATATACTATGAAGAGTACCTTGAACACGTACTTGATTCTCGCCCCTTATCTTTTAAAGCTAGGATCCGCTTCGATTCTTTCCAAACAAAATCACTCTTCTGCTGGCTATACTTGTAAGCCTTGTTCACCTTTTTGATGATGTGAAGATAGAGATTCTCTGACAACTCCTTCGCCTCGTGCTTTTTAGGGTTCAGAATAAAGACGAGATTAAACATAGTCATCCCGCTCTTCTTTTCGTCAGCCTCGTCCGGTGGATTACCAGCAGTGGCTTCCTCAGCCAGGTCCCTGGTTTCTATTTGTGGCACATCACATGCAAGAGTAGAGGACTCGCCATATTTACTTGCCGACTCTGTATTCTCGGGCGACTTGGGCGGCTGGTATTTTGGCTGCTTCTTCTTCTTCCGCCATATCCCATTTTCCGGAACGTATATGGGATACGAAGCGAAGCAAAGCTGCTCCAGCGAAACGTGAAAGAGCTTCTTGTGAAAAGCCCGGTTAGGGGTAAGTAGACTCTCAAGATCCCTAGTGGGATAACCGGCCACATGCTCCCAAGGCACTATCTGGGAACCGCTATCGGTCTCTAGATGGTCGTCATGGTTCCAGTTCTGTAGATCGAACGACTTGGGCAGTGAGCTAGAAGGTGCCTCAAAGGGGGGATGAGACATCTGATTTAACAGTTCGTCGTCGTCGTCCAGCTCATCCCTGGGGGCACTATCTCTAGAAGGCGAAGCGCGCGGCCCCTGGATCTGAGGTGGATAGTGGAAGACGAACAACGGCCCATCGCGTAAGCGGTTGACAACTAGGGCCACGCCCAAGAAGTTGGAAGTGCTGGGTAGTATAGAGGACGCCATGTTCTCAAAGTCTGGTGTTACGGATGGCGACACAAGTCTTAGATGCAATCGTTATTTCCCTAAGCCCGAGGGTGTGTACGCATGTACGCATGTTACGCTGTGGTCTCCCGAAGACCATTTCAGCTGGTCCGTGGCGTCGCCTGTGCAAACATCATTTGACTAGAATCGGATTTAAATGATATTTCTTCCACATTGAGAAATTAGTATCTACTTTCTCACGTAGAAGGTCATTAGTAGCCACATTCATCAGGTGGTAGCAAATGCCAATGCGAGTAAAGTACCTAACGCTTGAAGTTATTCATGTAGGTAAGTATTAGATTTCTCTAGTTAATATGTACAGAATACGGAATAGATGCACTTCCACTAAGATGTAAGGTGACCCCACTTAATTAGAGTACCTTAGGTACCTAGCTACATGTATTATCGATAGCCACCGGGGCAAGTAATTAATTAACTGTCTCGTTACATAGTGAAAGACTTGAATTCTAGAATCACATTCTACAACACTTAATATAATCCCGTTTATTGCTCTATTAAATCATTTATCTAGCAAGGCCTATTTTCTATACAACGTATTTACGTCTAGTAATATGTATCCATTCTATTTGTTCCATTGCGATTATACGCCGAATTTTAAGCATTATAGCCACCAATTTATACTTGACATGATCACTTAACAGTAATGCTAGATCCCCTGGACCACCGAAGCACTTAGGACAAAGAGCTCCTAACCACCTATATATATCAGCGGTCCAGCCTCAGCAATAGTCCCCTAAGCTTCAACAGAGACGTCTTATTGCTGTTGCGTCTTGCTCGCATCCTCCTCGTAGGTAATCTTTGTAGTATCACGCTGGCCTTTACCCCAGCGACGGATGAGACCCGTAGACACCCGCCTTCTTAGCAGAGCAGGCGGTTCCACGCTGCCCAACCGCAGAAACGACCGGAAGCGGCTCTGGTTCAATTCGTCGGGCTGCAACTCCTCGGGCTTGATGGCCGACGGGTTCGACAGTACCGGCGTTAAAGACGGCGCCGCAACCTCTAGCGCGGGGACGAGAGAGTAGGATGAAAGAAGCGGCCGTATAGGCTTTGGCGCTACAACTGTCACCTCGCTCGAGTATAGGGGGGCTTGGTCTTCAGGTTGGTTGGTTGGCATCATTTTGGCTGGGTTGGCTTGGTGATATTGCTATAAAATAGATATAAACGTACTTACTGAGTTATTAATAGGAGAACTCGTAGCTTTGATGAGTGAGTAGAATATATTAGATTCGGGACAAGTTCTTATAAATGTATAGCAGCGATTATTTTGAAAGAGTAAACTACCGGCTATATTCGAAAGAACATTTAACAACCTTTGTTGTCTAGTTTAATTAAGTTATTAAGAAAGGCATTGTTGGATATAAAGCGAGCTTCGGTCTGAGTCACTCTTGTCCTGTTATGAAGAAAGAGATGTTCATCGAGGTTCATTAATAAACTTCTAGCCCAGGAAATACTCAATACGCATTGTACTCTTCACAAGTAATCCATAGCAAAAACTCAAGTAGATGAAGCTTGGCATGATGCAAATTGACAATTCGTTTTAATTACTTGTGGAATTGTTTCATTCATTTTGATAACTCACTATGTAAATGAGATCACGTCCCCATCCCGAACCCCCGATGTCCAAGGAAAATATTCCTTCATTCGTTCCGTTTCTATGCACAAAGCCCCCAGTTCCCATATTAAAGGCACATATCTAGATACACCAGCCAAATATACACGTTTAGAAAAGGGTCATAACAATTCATGACGTCATTCGATCAGTATTTGGATCTCCGGGATCCAGAGCACATCGGCAGGTCAGTTAAAGATTTAAAAATCATCTGGCTATGATAGTCATTCAACAAGCACTCATATATAACCTCCAATGAGACTCAATCCGATGCCGGCAATGACGGCTGCCATAGGAGCAGCGGCAGGTCGTGCAGCGGCATTTCCGGTGCCGATGATGAACCCCCCGGTGGTGCCGGCTTGCGTGCATTGGGCACTTTGCAAGTTGTAACAAGCCTCGGATGATAGGCTTGAGCAAACAGATGTTGCCGACGGCGCGGGAAGCCCGGTAGCTTGCGTGGCAGCAACCGTCGTCCCACCGCCTCCCGGAACCACGATAGTCACGCCATAAGCTGCGCTACTTCCAGCTAATCCCGAAACACACGATGCGTAATTCCTCGAGCACTGGTTGACAGCTGATGTACACGCCACTGAATTCGCAAACGACGTCGGTATATATGGAAACGAGAAGTACGTGTTGCTCACGTAGGACACAGAGAGCGTTGGACCGGTTGGCGCCACTCCTGTACACGTTGCTCTACAATTCAAGCAGATATGTAAGCTTCGAACAACAAATCATATCCTAGAATTCAGATACTCTCCATAGGATTACTTACGTAGTAGGGCAACAGGCCGCTGAACTATAGGCATCCAAAGCGCATAGCTGTCCATTCTGACAGCAAGTTCCTTCGAAGACGGGACCCCGGTCCTCGCAACTGAAAAAATTGTCGGGGCAATCGATCGCTCTCTTATGGACGGGTGAGAAGTCCTCGAAAGTCCCGTACTCGAGCGGATTGACGATGGAATCAGCGAGCGCAAGTGTGGTCGCAGTTATCGAAAGGAGCGCGACATGTCGGCAGGACGTCAACCGCATCTTCTATCCAGGATTTCCGCGAGCATCAAGTTGAACGTTCACCTCCGCACCAGGCGGTCGCGCGGGCTTATAAGAGCGAGGAATTCGATACGAGAAACAATCGGATAGAGCAGGTATTGAGTATCTGGATTGGGTATGTGGTATTTTTAATTCACAGCTGACGACGCTGCAGACACGAGGTGGGGAGAGTCGTTGGGTGGCAGCGCGCTACTGGTCTTTACCGATTGTTATGTATGCGAGCTTGAGGTATGAATGTATACCTAGGTAGGTAGGTAGGTGTATAAGCGTATAAGCGGATAAGTGTGTAAAGTGTATAAGTGTAAGTGGCTAAGGCGAGCTATTATAAGTCGAGGTGAGATTGGTAAATTTAAGGCGGAAAGACACAAGACTCGGTTCAAATTATAAATTAATGTTTCAAATAGGAGAAAGTCGGATATTGAACTAGATAAGAATTATCAAGTAGGTACGACAGCACAACATGTGCAAACAGCAGAGCACCTGTGCTAGCTAAGCTGGGCATATGAGAACATTGAGGTGATGTCAAAATTGATTCGGCAGCCGTTGTTCGCCCAGCAACCAAGCACAGCCCACCTACCCACCTAACAAACCTTGGAAGGATGCCCTGATCGACCCCGGAGATCTTTGACCGATGTGGGGGGAGGGGGGTCATCGTAAAGTCCCATATACTTCAGTACTTCTTAGCATACATAGTATGAATAACAATTTCTAACACCGTTTAGGTACATGTACTCTCCAAAATTTTAACATTTCAATACATTCGACATTCGTTATCGAATCATAAGTTGAAACCGAACAACATCCATATCATCACATTAATATTATTAATATTAGCAAATAGATAAACCTCCGACTTGGTCGATCGTACCTAACATTAATTTCAATTCACGAATTAAAGAGGGACAAATCATTGTTCCTATGAGTTCCTTTGGCAGTCCAGGCGCAGGTCCATATACTGGGAAGCCTACCCCGTACGTCTCCTAGATATCACCTCGATTCTTAAAAGAGAGCGCGTGCTGACTTCAGCCATTCCTTCGTCCGTAGACCTCAGCGTGGAAGCTTCCCTTTAGATCATGATGGTTAGCAATTCCTATCCCCAGAATTATTTCTTCATTTATTAACTGTGCATCCCTAGGCGAATGCAAGGCCGTCATGACCAAGTATCTCTCATGCATCAAGAAGGTCAAAGGCGTCAATGACGAGGAGTGCCGCAACCTTGCTAAAACATATTTATCCTGTCGTATGGACCGGTAAGCTTCCTACCGTTCTCTAAGACCATCTAGTCTCTGTCTCACTGTTTAGGAACCTTATGGCGAAGGACGACTTCAAAAACTTGGGGTTTGCCTCGGAGACGGATACGCCCTCTAGTTCGGAAGCCCAGGGACGACGGTAGTATGGTAATAACTTGCAACCAAATCTACTCATCGGGACTCGCGGGAAGAAGAAGAATTACCCAAAATTCTTCAATCTAGCTATGGATTCCGACATCCTTCTGCTACCAACTGCGTGTTTCCTTACGGCCGGAATGCCCAGTTGAACTTTTAAATGGGAATGACCGAAATCACAGCCCATATTGTAAATCATCAAGTATATCCGAGCATACCTAACCTCCGGATCAAACGCTCTTATAACTAAACCTAGGTACATACTCAAATCTGCAACGTAAATTACATCCAACTTATACTATTCACGTTACGTATATCTTAAGGTCTTTATTTCTCTAGTCAGCGCATTGTTTATTAATACATAGCCTCCGATTCTCTCGTAGTTGTCGGTAATTAAGCATATCCGATCTATTCCCAGGATTAGTTAAGGTCGATGAAAGACACCGGGTCCGGTGCCGGGCTAGTTGCTTCCGAATATTGAACATCGTATATAAAGACCAAGACCAGCTTACCCGGCAACATTTTAGTCACTTATATTATACATGTAATATGATGAATAGTTTACCTCAGCCCATCAAGAAATTCCAATAACATGCTCCGTAACGTCCCCAGAACCAGGCCCTTGAGGCACACCTCTCTCACCTCCCGAAACCTCGGTCCGTCAAGAGTACTACTACAGAACCACCGCTACTTAAGTTCTAAATCAGGGTACGACCTAACCCTCAAGAATCTCAAAATAGGTAGTCATACAAGAGTTATATTTCAGGGGTTCACAGGTTTATCTCCCTAACTTACTCATCTGCCTGCTCCTTAGCCTACCCCCTGCTTACACACGAAGTACAGGGAAACAAGCCACAGCCAACGCTCGTGAGTCTTTAGAATGGGGCACCAATATCTTAGGAGGCGTGACCCCGGGCCGGGAAGGCGAGCACTTAGGCCTGCCCGTATTTCCTACGGTTCACAAGGTACCGTCACACATCACTATCTAGGTACCTACCTAGGGATTCTGTTCTGCGACAGTGGGACACGGAAGGGAAAGTAATTAGAACCGGGAAGGAAAGTTAACGATCCCTTCCCTCTAGGCCGTGGAAGCCCTCAGGCCAGACGCGACGGGTATCTACGTAGCTGCACACCAAGCTGCCAGCGCCATCGAGGAGGCGATCGAGGCCGAGGTTCCGCTTATTGTAGCCGTGGCGGAGCACATTCCGCTTCATGACATCCTTCGAGTGAGCAGTCAATAAATACAATCTATAATAGCTGCGGAATCTAACTAACAACGAAAGCCAGATTCATTCTATATTGAAAACACAGTCCAAGTGTAGACTAGTCGGCGCAAACTCTCCCGGCATCATATCGGCGGTAGGAAAATGTAGAATCGGTTAGTGATATTCCATAACTACTGGTTTAATTTTTACGGTATTAGCTTATAGCCATCTTCGCCCGTAGGTTTCCAACCGCTCCCCTGCTTTGAACCTGGCCGGATAGGAATTGTAGCAAGATCAGGAACATTAAGCTACGAAAGTACGTCCGCTACTCGTCCCACGGGCGTATCTCCGATTCTAATATGTACTCTCCGCTAGCCGCTGCTTCTACGCTCAGATCCGGTCTAGGCCAAAGTATGTGCATAGGTGTCGGCGGAGATATTCTCCCAGGCACGAGTCTAAAAGAAGGCCTCCAGATCCTCGTCGAGGACGAGGACACGGAAGGTATTGCGTTTGTAGGGGAAATTGGAGGAGAGGCCGAGATCGAGGCTGCGGATTGGATTGGAGAGTACCGAGCTACGACTAAGAACCCAAAGTGAGTCAAGTTCCTAGTTACCTTTCCTGTAACTAGAAAACTGGGAATATCGTAGTTGACCGGCATAGACCGATCGCCGCTCTTGTCGCCGGCGTGAACGCAGTTCCGGGCCGGATCATGGGCCATGCTGGAGCCTTCGCTCTACCCGGCGAGCCGTCTGCACTAGACAAGATCGAGGCCTTGAAAGCAGCAGGAGCAGCCATCGTTAATCATCCCTCCAGATTTGGGCCGGTGTTAAAATCCATGTTAGACGGTGTGACGCCCACAGGTTCCGGTATCGCCTCCCCAACCAACGCCTCACAACGGAGGGGAATACACACTGTAGCCCGCCGCCCTATTACGCCCCCACGAGTCGCCCATCACCCTCCTAGAGGCCAAGCACGCAGCATCTATCTCCCCCCAAACACCGCCCTCGATCTCCTCCGCCAACACGGCATCCCCATCTCCAAAGACCCATCCGCCAGCCCCCAGAAACTCCTCGCAGTAACCATCGACCGATCTACCAAAACCCCCTGCATCATCGCCTCCCCAACCAGCGAAGCCTCCCAAGCCGCCAAATTCGACTTCGCAAGCATCTCCACGCCCGCCATATCACAACACCTCGACCTCAGCCCCAAATCCACCGCGCCCCTCCAAGCCCTCCTCACCACGCTAGCCGCACTCTTCGCCTCCAAGGAAGCCTTCCTCCTCGCGACCCACATCACCACGACCCCCCACGGCGCCATCCACGTCTCCGCCGCGCATCTCGGCTTCGACGACGCCGCCTTCCGCAGCTGCGCCCGGCAAGCCGACATCCACGCGTTGCCGCGCAGCGAGGATGCGGCGGCGGGAGAAGCTGCGAGCCACGGCATCGTGTACATCAAGATAGACGGGGAAGGCAACATCGGCACGCTGGTCAATGGCGCCGGGCTGGCGATGAACACGGTGGATGCGCTGGCGGATGCGGGGGGCCGCGCTGCGAATTTTCTGGATACGGGGGGCAAGGCGACTAGTGAGACGGTGAAGAGGAGTTTTGAGGTGATTTTGACGGATCCAAGGGTTAAGGCATGTCTCCCCTTTCCCTATCCATTTCCCTCTCATCCCTCCCCCCCCCCCCCTTTCTTCTTCTTCGCTATGTACATATTCGGGTGCTATTATCCCCCACATCATCACCTCCTAAACCGCATATCAAAAAACAAAACATATGGCAGCTAACCCACATTCCGCTCCCGCGTTACAGTGCATATTCGTTAATATATTCGGCGGTCTGACTCGTGGTGATATGATCGCCGAGGGCGTGATTCTGGCCTTCCGCGATCTGCAGATGGCGGTGCCCGTGGTAGTGCGCATCCGCGGGACGAACGAGAAGGAGGGCCAAAGGATTATTGCTGAGAGTGGATTGCCGCTGTTTGCTTTTGACGACTTTGACGAGGCGGCGGCGAAGGCTATTGAGTTGGCAAATAAGGGACTTTAGGTAGAGAAGTGCTCACTTATATAGCATGTTTTTAAACTGCCCACCATAGATATTAACTATATCATCAAGTCTTATGTGCTTCAACGCTACCATATGAGTTCTCTATAAGTCTTTTATATATCTTATTTTTATGAGTGTCCTGTGGTCGGCATACACTCCGCTCTGGATGACTATAACTCCTAGCCCCCATTCTATACCCGTTCTATAGCCCAGAGTCCCTTGAGAATAGATAATCGTTGTCGAGGAGTGGCCCGGTCGTTATTTTGCGACTGGTGCTCTATTGCAGAGGACAGTAAACCTTCGTCACGAACGGCAAGTTCTCGCTGCTCCTTATCGAGTCGTACCTGTTTCAACTCCCAGACTTTCCAAGCTCTAAGGGCCCAGCCTAGATTGTTGAGAATCAGCGAATCAAATGTTAAATGAAAAATACGAGGCTGCTCTGAAGATTCAATTATTTAAAGAGGGTCTACCTTGGCGGTGTGACTTACCGAATATAAAGGCACCAATATAACAAAACGCGGTGAAGAGTTGGACGTGGAGATAACCCCCTGGCCCAGACCGTCTGAGGCTCACACCAATGACTTCGGCGAACGTCGCCGGCAGGACTAGAACGAGCCAGGTCATTGATAACGCTACTTAGAAGTTAGTACATTGTAGTCGGTAGAAGCATGTGTTAATGGGGTTAGATTGCGTCGACGAGTTAAACCAACGTAGGGTAATGGGGGATACTGAGGATCATTAGCTAACCTGAAGGTATGAGAGCAAGTCCGACAACTTCGGCACATATAGGAGCAACCGTAGCCCACATTACGCCGGCAACACCACCAGCAAGGAGAGCAAACACTATGCAAGCAGCTAGGCTTTTAGCTCCGAATATCCAAAAGAACATGCAAAGAAGACCGCATAGTAGCGTAGACAGGTTGGCGATATTTAGACGCCCAACTGAGTCGCTGGATAACCCTATTGCAGGCCGTCCAAGTCCTTGAGACACTGTGTTTTTAGTTAGAATTACTAGACCTAAGACATAATCCAAGCAAGAAACTCACGGTTAAACAGCGCGCCAACTAAAGAAGCCTGAGAAGCCGTCAAGCCAACAGTCTGGCAGTAGTCAACGATACTGAAAATTAGGATGATGTATCCAAGAATAGAGAGGACCATCCAGGCTTGGAACAAAAGAAACGATGGCCTCTTAAAGAGCTTCCAGTTAAAGGCTATATGGACTGAGCCGACAGCATGGTTGCGGTCGCGGATGAGATAGCTTGCGACAGTATTCACCACAAAGCAGACAATGGCTATGACGCGGAAAGCCCAAGGTAGGCCGATGTTGGTGATCATAGCATTAGTCGCCAATGAGTAGCATAAACCTCCGAAGCCCGACCCCGAGGCGGCGATCGAGTTAGCGAAGGATCGGCGTTTTACGAACCACTGAGGAGGAACGGCAGCAGAGGCGACGAAGCAGAGACCCATACCAAGGCCAAAGGATACGCCTTGGCTCAGAATCAGGTGCCATAACTCTGAGGCAAACGATGAGCCGACGAAGCCAATCCTATGAGAGTTTTAGCATCTAGATTATCTCTGTGAAATCGGGCGAGCCTACGTCTCAAAGATAGCCCCGAGAAATATAGTTAGTCGTGTCCCGCACCGTTTCCAACCAACCAAAGTGGTCGCCAGCGGAGAAGCTAGGAGAGCTATGTCCCTGTTAGTTAAAATCCCGGTAACATGTATAGCTCACGTACCGATCGAGATAGATAGGCCGCCTACGAAGGCATAGCCAAGCTGACTTGCACCAAACGAGCCAGATCTAAGGTAATAAGCGAGGAAGACAGCAAAACTCTAGTGGTGATAGGAGAATGTTAACAAACTGGGAAAACATTATCTTGAACGTCAGGAGCACGCTTACAGAGTTAAGACCCCAAGTGTGAGCGTTGAGTAAGAATACACCGAAAATAACGGCCCTAGAGAGAAGAGAGTAGTTAGTATCGTAGTATGTACCCACATGAGGATATTCGGGATTTTTTTGAGAAACTAACCAACCATAACCGCCCTCCTTGAATTCTTCTTGCGGCTGAGGATCCTGGGTTTCAAGGTTTATGTTGACTGAGTCATTACTATCCTGGCTATTATCTGGGTCCTTGTCGCGTATAGCCATGGTAGTTGGAAATATGGTAGGCTATGAATTATGAGTTATAAGACAATAGAAAATAAATCTTGATGTTAACATCGAGAATAAGGTGTTTTTATTATTTTTAATGCCGAGGCATGTACTGTCAGAACCTATATCTTTCGAAAGGTGTACCTCTATCCCTTTCATTAGGTAAGAGTTGGCCGGGAACAACAAAAAACTTAGTCATATTTGCTGAGCCGTACTTGGATCTGGCAGTCGGACCGGTGCTCACCCCGGTCCGACTCCCGAGTGATCCGCCCCACGGGGTTACGGCACAGTTGGTGTCAACCTTTGGGCGTCAACGTCTTCTGTGTCACTATCATCTCCGTGTGCGGCGAGACATCTCCGCCTATAGCACTCATAAGCGATAAGAAGAAATAAGGTCGTATTGGGCACAATCAATAATCATAATTATATATCACTAATCGGGGGGAAACTTTACCAGTCTCGGTTCTTTGCTTATGATACGGATGGCCGATATCGAAAATGAACCGAATTCGGGGATATAAGAGTGGTCGATGCAAGAAACATTTGTCCCGCATATTAGATTCGACGTTGAGGATCATCATTCGTCCACCCATATATTTGGAATAACATATGTCATAATATTACCTCGTTGAAGGCTGACGTTTGGTAATCTCGATATAGATAACTTTCGTCTTTCCATGTTCTACGCTAAAACCATAGAAGAACGAATATACTAAAAGAGCCGCAATTAGTAGCACGTGGTAAATGACATCTGCATGCAGAAAATACCAACGGCAAAAGCGCATTTGAACCCGGTACTAAACCCGCAGAGTGGATTACGATTATAACGAAGACTGCGCTGGTAGGTTGGATTTAAGGGAAGAATTGCAGATGAACCAGCAAACAACATTTGTTAAATGGTGTTGATGAAATAGGATTGGTTCTTTGAGTCATCTTTTACTGCGCAGTACCTGCCAATATCTTAGATAGGCATGGTGAATGACAAGGGGCGGAATTATGTACATAGTCATAGTAAGTGGTTAGGGTGGACCCTGATCGAAGATTCCAGGTAAATTCCCAGGTCTTCCCTGCATCTAATGGTAGATAGGTAGTGGCAGATAATAGCAGATAATGGCCTACATGTAGGTACTAGGCAGCCAGTACCTAGGTTAGGTAGGTAAGAGCAAGGGAAAGTCTGGCTGAACTACCTGAATTAAACTTTTAAATCCTTGGCAGCTTCCGACCTTTGGGCATCGTCGCCAACTGTCGGAGTGGGGAACCTTGTAAGAACAACGGACTCCAACTGCCAGTTGTCCTACGCTGAAAACTGCCCCGTCCTGCCCGTCTCTAGCAGGCCTAGGCGGTATCGACCCTACCTAAGCGGCTGCCCCGGCAACGCTTGGACGGTAGTACCAGCAAAACATTGGACAGCATAAACCGCCAAATTCTCCCATTCCTCGCTTTGCCCAGCCCGACCGAATAAAGGAACCTGGGTGGACACCTCATCATGCGTTATGGTTTTTCTGTGAAACATATTTCTCAATCCATAAATAAATACTCTTCCTGTCCCTAGCAACATTTGGTACCTACCTAGTTAAGAAGTTGTTCTAGTAAACAAAATTACTCATCAATAAACCAACCGCCATAGAAAGCAGCTATTAATCACATATTTAACCTGCAGCCTACCAGTTTACCCCATTGTCAACAAACCACCACCGACTTATTCACGATACAAACATTGCAGCATTGTTATAGCATACATACTCTACCTGCGCAGCCATGTTGCGAGGCAGGTCGAAAGAGAGGTCCTCCAACAGAAAAGTCACACCGCCTTCGCCAAGTTATATGAACAATGAGCAATTCGGTTCGTAAACATCTGGTAAAACATGTGATAGTAGTATAGCACTAACCCGGACACTTTCTATAGCTGCATATCTGGCAAGTCTCCGAGAGAGTCGAGTAAGCCGCCCGGGAGGTGCACGGCCCCTTCCTCCTTCGTCAAAGCCACCGCACCGGGATTCTACAGAACGACTCGCCACCGGCCGCCCATCCCCAACTGCCCCGTCTGTCTTGTCCGAAGCCCCTAGCAATCACCAAAGGCCGCTGTCCGATCTGCCAAGGCCGCGCGGTAGCCGTCCTAGTTTTGCCCCAAGCGTAGCTTCTCGCTACTCTACCATGACCTCCATTGGAAAGGATTATTACCCCGAAAATCCTACTGTTGCGCCTTTGAAACCAGGTGAATTTGTTCCCAGTGCCACATATATCGAGCGCGGGCAGCGATGGATGGAGAAGGAAGAGGCTGTCTCACTTCGCGAGGCAATGGACGCTATGGACGCCATGAATGTGAAGGATGGGGACAAGGATAAGCAAGGAGACGGAGAACAACAGGACGACGATGAATCTCGACTGTACAATGCGGCTCTCGACGAGGCGGCGGAATTGGTCTGGCAACATCAACACGGAATAAAGCCTCCTGAACCTGGTGCTCCGTACCGGTATAAATCCCACTTGCGAAAGGATAGTTACGCTCATGCTCGTGCTGCTAGTGCCGGACGGTATGGTAGTGAGATCAGTCCTACCGGGCTCGCGAGGGACTCTATTCGGTCATTATCTGGTAGTTCGTCAGGTAGCGACAGGGCGCGCTCTCCAGTAAGTGGACGCACAAGTATGGATCAGCAACGTACATATTCCATCGGATCGACCAAGTCGAAATCGAAATCGTATGGTAGTATGGGTAGTACAGCACGTTCGAGTTCTGGTGGCCGACGTCTTAGCAGCTTGAAGCGTAATATAAGCGGGGAGGTTGAGAAACCCTTTTCAGGCGATCAAATATGGGAAGAGCCAGAAACCATTACGCCTGAACGGTCCCCAAAACGGGCTCAACCACCAGAGAAATCGCCATCAAAATCGCCACAGAAGTCGCAGCCCCTGGGACTTAAGTCAAGAGGCATTCCTAACAGGGTTCAATTCGCGCCCGCCTCAGTTGAGGACGATCCGGACGATACTCCATCGTCAGTGCCTACCAAGCCGGTGTCCAAAATCGAAATCCACAAGAACCCTCCATCACAATCTCGTAACCCGGCTTACACCACAAACACGCCGTTAGAGTCGCCACAGAAGCCTCAGGAAATTCCGAAGAAGCATGGTATGGAGATTCGGGGCGATGATATTAGATTGGCAACTACCATGCGGCTCAAGGACCGCAGCGCGAAGCTCCCCACGCCGTCGGCCGTCAGCGACAGCCCCGGGCGTCCAATCGTAAGCTTTGATAAAAACTGGAAGCCCCCAGAGGAAGAGGCGACTGATTCAAAATTAGAAGAGTCCAAGCCCAGCAGCCACCGATCTTTCGGGGTCGTCGGTAAAGAGCATCAGGGCCAGAATCCGCAGCCGCCTGTCCCTACTATCTCAGTTTTGCCGGATACTGAAGTTCCGAAGCCGTCGTCAGCATCGCGGCCATCCGGTACCACGCCGGCCATCCCAAGTATCCAGATAGGCGGGGCGGACGACGGTCCGCAGGTGCCGGTGCCGGTGATCTCCGTCTCGGATGACGGCCCGGCTGTCCCAACTATCGTACTACCGGGAGATGACGATGACTACAATAACAAAGCCCCGAATGTACCAACTATAGCTACCCCTGACAGTGGTAGAAAGCCTTCCGCTAGACCCTTACCAAACCCCAAAGCACTCAATACTACGCAAGATCGCCGCCGAAGCCATTGGTCTCCGGCACCAGGAGTGACCGGCCGTCGCGCGACAGCGATCTGTCATGAGTGCGGATTCCCCATCGAAGGCCGCTTCGTAGCCTTGGCCGGAGCCTCGGAACGGTTCCACCCGCAATGCTTTCGGTGCTACTGCTGCGGCACAGCTCTCGAAGCACTCGAGATCAGCCCCGAGCCAGATAATTTCCGGAGCGAGCGACTCGACCGAATCCGGCGCAGAGCCGCAGGCGAAATCCTCGACGAGGAACCAGGAAAGACGATGGCGGAAGACGGGGACGCGCGACTGCGCTTCTACTGCCACTTAGACTGGCACGAACTCTTCGCGCCGCGCTGCAAGCACTGCAAGACGCCCATCCTGGGCGAGCACGTGGTAGCACTAGGCGCACACTGGCACTACGGACACTTCTTCTGTGCCGAGTGTGGCGACCCGTTTGACCAGAAGGCGACGCACATCGAGAAGGACGGGTACGCGTGGTGCGTAAGTTGCCAGACGAAGCGGACGGAGCGGCGAGCGCCCAAGTGCCGCGCGTGCCGGCGCGCCGTCATCGGCTCGTACGTGCGCGCCTTGGGAGGCGAGTGGCACGACGAGTGCTTCCGGTGCGCGTCGTGCGGCGGCGGCTTCGACGACGGTCAGATCTTCCCCATGCCCGAGCGCGGCGAGGGCGTCGTGCTGTGCACGAGGTGTCGCGCCGCAGAGCTCAAGATGTGACGTGATGCGCACGCGAATGAATTACGAACGACGATGCGATACGATAAGATAAGATAATTAGATGTAACCGACGAACGGCATAGTTTGCGATTGTGTTGGTTTTTTGCGACGGAGTACTTTGGTAGTTTGTCTGTTTTTATTGCCTCCTCTTGACACTTCCTTCCCATACTTCTCCTTTCCTCTTCTCTCGTGACATCTTGTCTTGCAAGTCAAGTTGAGAAGCGAGGGCGAGTTTGCGGGCTGGAGTGAAAGATGGCTGGCTGGCTGGCTGGTGGGTGTCGTTATTGCTTTTTCCCGAGTCCGGTTTTTGCGTTGTACGGGTTTGCGTTTGGTGCTTTTGACTTGTGCTTACCTTACAGTAATACTTCATTCATCCAAGGCAAGGCGTTATGTGCGACTCGAGTCTGACATGGTTTAATTTGATTCGGCTTGGTTTAGGGGGAATTGCTTTGCTGGTGGTAATTGGCGGCGTTTTTCAGTATTGGGAGTTGAGCAATAGCAGTTCGGAAATACAAAAAGACTTGCTTGGTTATCTTTTTAACTAACTATTACGGTTTTATGTGGTTTTGTGATGTGATATGTCATGACGTATTTTTTGCACTTTGATTTTTTATTTCACCCTCCTACTATGTCTCCTGCTCGATCAATCATCCGATAAAATAGGATCCCCTCCTGTTTCGGTAATCTTGAGTTTCCCATTGACTTCCCACCGATTGATATAGTCGTGTTGTTCTTGCTCTCGAAAACGTAGAAACCTTCAATTACAAAGTTAAAGAGATAGGGCTGGAAATAATAGATCTGCTTCCTCCATTCGTTAGGACTGCTTAGAGTCTGAACATGTATAAGACAGCAAAAGGCGAGCAGAAAACGATAGATAATCCCGCAAGTAGTTGGAGATATAAGACGAAAATATAGGAAGAACAAACGCAGCTCTAATCTGAGATCAGCCGCCACCTCGATTAATAGAAGACAGTACCTCTGAAAGACTCATAAAGCAAAAAGCAAGAATCTACATGATAGATGCTCTCCAACTTAGGGCAGAGCGAGGGGGGTACCGAGGACACGCAAAGAACCCTTGGGGGCGAGAGACCTCGTTTATAGTTGTCCCTGTTGCTTCTGTCACCTGACTTAAATCGGGGATACGGTGAACCCTTTGAATCCTCCCGTTCCAATCCATATTCCATCCATATATCATGCCAACGGCGAGATTGATCTGCTAATCATAGGAATATTGGCAATATCAGCGGCGACAGGCACCTCCCACCTGCTCCTGGTGAACTTCCAATGTGTCACCGTCGGCCATCTCCAGCTACGGATAGTAAACAGGATGGTTAGCTTACGTAAGGTATATCTAAGTAATGCGTGAATGAACTCTTGAGATGATAGCGATAGCATGCCAAAGTGGAGAGGGTAATGATCATAGTAAATTTAGAGAGGGCTATAAGGGCCTAATTGGTAACTTACCGATTCGGGTGTATCGCTCTTTTGAACCCGCTGCCCTTCAAACAGAAAGCGCACGGAATCGACGACCTTGCCTTGACGCTCACAAAAGGCCGTCATCAACTTCTCGAGCTTAGTAGAGCGCTTGATTTTGAAGAAAACCTCGTTATTGTTGTCCGTCACCTTGATATTAAGGTGTTCGCTGCCGCCGGCAGGTGCGTCCTGTCGTTCCGCGGCAGGGCTTCCGCTGTCGTTCTCTCCGGACATCGTGGGCGTAATGGGCGGTGCTTGCGGAGATATCAGAGTGGATTGATCTAAGTCTCGTATGTCGTCTTTTTAAGAGACGGCGGCTCTCTAGTCTTTTCCTAGTCAGCTACAGGAAGAGGGAGGGTTGTGTGTTGCTTCTTGGGCAAATGACTAAAAGATTTGTGGTTTTCACGCACAGCGGAAAGATGTGAGACTCACGGACAGCGTAGATAGTGTACTAATCGCTCGAGAACGAGATATGGCAGTAAGAAAACTCGAGTGGAGAGGCTTGCTGCGCTCAATGCGATTGGTATGGATTTTTATGAGTGGCGGAGGAAAAGGATTGAAAAAACGCAGTGGCCAAAAGAAGAGAAGTGAAGTTTGAGAAGTATGCGATTGCGGTGGTGAAGTTTGGAATCAACGCGAAGGCTACGTGAGGCGCCTTCTAGGTGGAAACAAGGACCGTTAACCACGCTAGATGCGGGGCAGTTACTTCAAGCGTAAGTACGCTAGTAAGGAGTACCTTCTGCAGGTCATACTTTCCCTATGGTATATGTCTAGGCCTTTTCCGTGGGTACCTCTTTAGGTACAGCCTTTGCTTTCAGGCTAGACTCACCTGAAGGATGTATTATACTATAGTAGATACAGTGCATACATCTCATAGACATACATACTGTCTTGAGAAGGGAGAGTCTAACTGCAGCTGAAGCTCCTTCTTTCGGTGTGCGGATCTAAAATACCCCTCACAGTGTCACTCGCACCTCCTTGACGTACATATTCATATTACATTAGTAACTATATTTATTATACATGTATGTATCTGACCTAAAACTTTATAATACACGCCCTAGACGCGTGTATTATTATTAGCCTTTCATAAGAAACCTGTGTGATTCTTACCTGTACAGTTTTCTCATTTCGATACGGAGGCCGGAAAGCAGGAAGTCCTAGTTCATTGGAGGCCTAGTCTTTATCTTCGATTTGTCAAAACTGAACCTGTTGCTTTGCGAGGTAAGACATGCAGGTAGATTTGATAAGTCAATCACCTAACCTATATGTAGGATTTTAGCCTGCACACTCCGGTGCATCTTATTCGAATACCGTATATGCACTCTGCTGCCTAATTGGTAAGAATCCCATGGCTGAAGGTGGTCCAGGACTGAACTCAATGTCAAGATACGTTAAAAAATAGAAATCTAATTCGAATCTTCTACCATAGTTTTATAATCTTTTAATAAAGTGTCGAAGCTAAAAACGACGCCGTAATCGCTCTTAAGCAATTACGCCTTATATATATTGTGCGACATAAAGTTATACGGAAAATATGCCAAAAGGTCGACCTAAGATGTAAAGGGCTAAACTTGGTGAGCAAATACCATATTCTAATATTATTGATATTTTATCAGATCTGTACGACGACTAACCAATATACGACTTTTGTGGTGTAAGAGCGGCCGGGCCTATTCGTGGCGGGTTTGCCACTAATAATGAATAGATATGCTCCTATAAAGTGGTTCTGCTATAGTGATATGCAAGAAATCGATAAGTGAAATTCCTTGATAGTACAGAGAATTTTCTCTCTTACTCTCGTTACTCCATAGTCTTTAGCTATTTTGCTCAATTTCTTATGTAGTTGGTTATACCTAGATAGTTTACCTTGCGGGTTATAGTTTTATTAAAAGATTAGCTAGAGGCTAAGCTGGAAGCTTCTCATATCATAGCAATTACGTCTTCCTAATAGTAGTGATAATTTAATAGAAAACTAGACAGGATCCATGGAGTGAAGTAGGCCAACACCACGTTGTAAGTTTTATATAAGGCCAAACGATAGCTTAATAGGTACCTAGGTATAATATGTACTAAATGTTCAACTTATACTATGATTGTTAAAGCCAATTATCATCAATTAGGTACATAGGGTTTCAAAGACTACTTAACTACCTACCTATACATCTTATACATCTTACAATAAACCCAATGAGGTTAGCTTTGATAACATATCTACGTCATATTCGATCAATCGGTAGAGGTAGGTAATCTCACAGACCAATTCCATGTTAAGAATGGCAACTACCCAGCAAACGAAGTCGTATTGCCAAGATCCTTTTGGATAGCATCATGTCAATGGATATTCGATATCCATTTCAACAATCTTAATATCCTCCATTCACCTCACAACCCTAGAAGAACGATCCGGCATAATAGTAGAATATGGTCTGTCTCCTTGACGCAATGAGGATGTATCTGACTAACCGTGGCATAGGCGTTGAAAGAAGATCTTGAGTCAAAGCCACCCTGCCATCCTCGGGCTGTGAGTACCCAGTAAAGATATTATATGAAGTCTGGTGGACTGGGATTGAATATGCATGCAACTAACATTCACCCATTTAGTGTGCTATTCAAGGTATATATTTTGGACGCGTAGACTGCCGCTCAGTTCTAATGCTAGTATAGATTGTCTTGGAAAGAATAGCTATGACGAAGCAAAGTGTTCTCGCTATATCGATGCCTTGTACGAATGCTGCGACGCTTTCTATAAAAAACATGGAGACGGTGCAACAAGTCCCAGCTGCCCGAAAGCAAGCCTTTTACGTTTGAAGATGAAGCAACGACAAGGCGAGCAAAGCAAGTGAAATTCACAATTTACATAGACACATATATCGATATTAGAATCGATATTATAATCGATCTGGAATGATCTTCTATCTGGCATTGCGCTCATTATTGTTGCGAGAATCAGGCACTACATACCGGTACGGAGACGGGCGTGGCATGTTCTACATCTCCTTCTTTGCGTCAACCCAAATAAAGAAGTTAGGCAACATTTATGGAGAGTAGAAATCGTTCTAGGCGATCATTGAGCGCGCGAGAGATCCGCATGGGACCTGGACAAGCATTGAAGGAAATAATGGCTTATCCCGAGACTCTAATATGAATGCCGATGACATTATTGTGGAAGAAAAGAAAAAAGAATAAAAATTTCGGCAGAGAAATTCTTTTTTGTACTCCCTTGCAGCCACTGAGGCTAATCGAATGAGGCTAGTGCATATGTAGTAGGTGCTACCTAGGTAGGTAATTGGACATGGAACCTTCTTCATGGGCGGCTTCCAGCCAATCTGCTAACTTGCCAACCTTATCCAATCTTATCACTGCTCTCTGACTGGGTAGCTGCTGCCGACACGCATTCATGGGATCCGAGTCGCGTTGATTCTTTTTTAGTGCAAGAGCTTGACAGCTCCATTCCTGACGACACCAAGTATCGCATTTCCCCATTCTTCGAACCAGGCCAATAAGGAGAACAAATTATCACCTTACCTACCCTCATACCCTCATAGTCGATAATACCGTGGCCGCCCTTCTTTTATTGTAACCGTAGACAATTCGGAGGATGCTGGCTAGCAACCAGCTCCTCGCCTAGATATACCAACAACCCACGCTCCGTCATCTTTCTCACATTCATGATGCTGGCTCAAAGAACCCAGCGTACGTACGGCATACCGTTTGGTGGGCCGTCGCCATCCCCCGATCCTGATGAGCAAAGTACAGCACCACTACCGTCAATTGGATCTAACGAGTGGTTAGAGGCTAACAATGACATGATAATAGCGTCGCCCATTTACGACGATGCAGAAAATGAATTCGCACAAGATGCCGAGGAATTTGCCAAAGGCCTCGACTCTCTCACAATAGTGCAGAAGCCCAACGCCGAGAAACGAGCAGACATATTTAGACTCGTCGATACTTACTACCAATATGCGTCTAAAAAAGTTCGCGCCTTGCGCAAATCGCAAGGACAACTATCTGGGACTGACCCCCGCCATTCGTACGAGATTTCTAGCCAGGACTCTATGGACCTTGATGACGGAGACGATTTGGTAAAATCACCAGCCTTGTCCGAAATGCTTAAGAACTGGGAGTTGGAAGCACAGACGTGGGATATGTTGCGTCGCCTCTTACCTCTACGATACCCGAACAAGACCTCTCTTAAGCCTGCCCGCCACGACGTGTCAAAATTCCAATCATGTGCGCAGCTCTGGGACGAGTTCCTCCAGACAGACTCTACTGCCCAGGAACGTAAGGCGATTCTAGAATGCCTGCAGACCAGCGCAGACGAATCGCGGGTAGATATAGATGAATTAGTCCGAGACTATCAGCAGCGAGCGGAAAGAGGAGATATAATCGCTTATGGATGGCTTCATACGCGATCTGCACTCAAGATGCAAAAGAACCTAAATGGTTGGTCTGGAGCACTGGACCCTAATGCTACTGATGTTGTGCAGAAACTCCGAAACGGATCAAATCCTATGGTAACCCAACTTGACCCTGACGTAGCAACAAGGCAGAACCGGAAGCTTCAACCGCAGGATGAGTACTTCGAGAGGGCTATTTGGCTTGGATGTTACGAATTACTGCGAAGGGGGCGGAGCATTGCCGAAATTCGAGATTGGTGTGTTGAAAGGACCGAAGTCTGGCGAGCTGTTAGTATGTCAGCTATGCCATTATCAAAGGACGAAAGTGAGAGTCGATTTAGCTGTGACCCTCTCTCGATGCTTCTGTGGCGTCGTACCTGTTTTGCCTTAGCGAGACAAGGAGGTACTGACGACTTCGAGCGTGCTGTATACGGTATCCTTTCTGGAGATATTCCAAGCGTCGAGAAGATTTGTGAAGATTGGGACGATTTTGTTTACGCCCATTACAACGCTTTGCTTCGATCGCAGTTCGATGCTTACCTGATGAAGCGATCTTCACCAGACGCAACGGCTACTATAACACAATCATTCTCTACCTTCAACGCCGTCCAGTTTCACGGCGACGCTGCTTCGGTCGGAGAGCGTCTGGTTAAATCGTTGGAGACGAATATGAAAACTTCAGCGGAGGCAAAAACGCCGATGAAAACCCTTCAGGCGGCGATTATTTCCAATAATATAGAGCAGTACACCTACGACCTCGGCCTCGCACTTGGAAAGGCGGCTAATTCAGGGGATACTTCGGCCTTGATACCGAGCTTCGGTGCCTCCAACGAAAATATAGACGATGGCAAATTTGTCCAACTAAGAGATCATAACGGCTTACGAATCTTGGTCCACGTGTATTTGATCATATCAAGTCTCGAAGAACTACAAGGTGGTCTGCACATGGAGCTGTCCGAACGCCACAAAGCGCGAGAGAACGTTGTCTCCGCCTATGTTAGCACTTTACGACTAACGGGCTTAACGGATATGATGCCGCTGTACTGTAATCAAATGCAAGGAGATAGGGCTTTTTTCACCCTGAGCAGGAATGTTACTAGCGTAACTGACCAGCATGAACGAGAGATACTACTAAGACTCATGGAGAAGCTCGGTATGAACGTTGCCGAATTTGTCAAATTCCAACCTCGTTCTCTACTTCAGGAGCACCCCGAACCTGAGGAAAACCCTCCCCCATTTGGTAGATTTACCGTCTTCTCCAACGATCCACCTACGCTTAAGTACGGACGTCCTCTGAAGCCTGACTTCCTCGGGGAGCCACCAGAGAGTCTAGACCCTGTGGACGAGCATCTTATCCAGTCATTGGAGTGGTTCCTTCTTGTCGATGGCCTTTGGGACGAGGTTTTCCATTACGGTACAGCTATCTACAAACGCTTTCTTAGTAAGTAGTCCCTTTCACGGCACACCGAAGACAGAACCTTCAGTGCTAATGTTACACTAGAGCAATTCAACCTCCATGCGGCTCGTGCTTTGTCTGAACGAGTTCGCTGCAGCGAGATATTCAAGCGGAAGGCAGGCATTGTCTACTCCGACGACGTGGACGTGTCGTGGTTCGACGAGGTTCGAGCGAGCGCTGCAGCCGGTTCATTGGATGAAAACAGCCTTGGGGTTGAAGACATCGCAGTAGCGCAAACCTTTTTCGAGATGGAGTGCTTAGTCCGAGCCTTAGATTCGATGGAGACTATTGCATCAAGCGAACTAATATCCCAGGAGTCAGTACTCGCCATGATAACTACGTTTCTATCGTGCAATATGAAGCTAACATCCGACATAGTCCTGCAGAGAAGGTAGGCCGGGACTTCTGGTCCAATCTCGGGCAGGAAACAAAGAAGATTAAGAGCTTCATGCGCCATATATTGAATAATTGGCTTATGGAAACCATTGAAGGTTAGTTATAAGCAACTCGAGGAAGGAATACATCTAACTAGAGCGATCAGAAGACGAAGATTTCACGTATCTCCGAGACGCGTATCTGCCTGAGATGATTATTGGATACGTTAGCGTGTTACATTTCGCAGGCACGACTCTAACCCGTGACAACCTGTTAGAATGCATGGAGCTTGCCTCTGTGATCGCCAAAAAGGACGCGGACGTGGCAGCGGTTATTATGAAAGCCGGACGAATGAAGGAGCTCGTAGAGGGCTTCGCAAACTGCAGCAAGGCGCTAGCTATCAGCAGCAGCGACAAGAAAGGAGCGGGTGGTATCAGTAGCAAGAGGATGATGCGAGAACATGGATGGACACGGGAATTGTGGTCAGTCAAAAACTGATGAAGGCCCGTACAGGTCTACATTGGGTGGACAGGTACTAATGCTTGTAATGCTTCTTTCTACCTTTGAAATTCGGGGTGGCTATGGCTTGCCGGCGTTGATGATTCATAAGGATAAGACGACGACTATCAAAAGTGAAGGCGTTCATTGGGGCATATGAGAATGTCCGTGGTCTTACATCGTATAGCACGATCAACGCATAATTATCCAAGTGCCATACGCAATGCCTACGTTTCAGAGAGTGATTAAATCATTTCTTAATTGGTTTCTGTTCATTGACAGATATTGAGCTGGGGTCGAAGTAGTTGATCAAATTTAATATATTAGACTCAATATATTAGGTACAGATGGATGAAGTGGAAAGGGGCAGGGTACTTTGTAGATGAGTACTTTGTATGTACCTAGTTAACCTAGATGATAAGATAAGCGGGTGACGTTAGGTAGGTACCTAGGTATATAGTACTGGTACATAGTACTTTGTAACTCACCCACTTCGCCCAACAGCTCGATAGCTTGACCTCTCCATCATAACTAACAGTCTAACCTTAGTAATTTCATTCATTCTTCCCGAGTCAAATTGTATAATAATACTTAACATAAAACAATAAAAGATAAATTGCCATGTACAGCTCGACTCCCCCACCCCCCGTACCACCTCCGAAGCCAAGCAGCCACGACGCCAGCCGTCTAGGTACGCCCGCCACCACTAGCTCTCCTCGACCACCGGCCCCGATCCCGGATGACACATTCTTGAGATCTATAGAGGGGAGGGGCAATTCGCCAGCTACTATGGATGCCTCAGGTTTGATCCCAGCCTCGGCATCTATGGCCAGAGGGACGGAGCAAGAAGCCATACCAGATCCCGGCGACCAGTGGCTGCCGAAGATCCTTGAGGATAAATCGTGAGTATTGGTTCTTATACCCATTTATCACAGCATTATACGTATTATACCGTCTTATATATTTACAATCTAACACCCGCACAGGAAACAAGACCTTGCCGGAATCCTCTCCAATCCAGCGGCCCTCGACGCTCTCACGCACGCACCTTCGGCAGCACACCCATCCCTGACGTCAACCCGCGATGCGCTCCTCGCCGCGCTGGACGATAACGTGGCCCTCGCAAACCACCTCACGGAGCTCGAGGCGCACCTCTCCCGGCAGCGCGCGCAGGCGCAAGCACAGCTCCTATCAACGCACTCCCTCGAGCGCCAGTGGCGCCAGAAGCAAGCCGAGATGGACACGGCGCTCGCGCCGTTCGCGCCCGCAGCTCTGTACGCGAGGCTAGGCCAGAGCCTGGCAGAGCAGGAGGCTGTGTGCCGCGCGCTAGAGGAGAGCTTTCTGGAAGGAGGCGGGGGCGACGGGGCTGGAGGCGAGGAGCTGGCGACGGAGAGGGAGACGCTGGATTGGGTGAGGCGGTATCGCGAGGCTAAGAAACTGTTTTACCTCCGCCACGAGCGACGGGAGAGGTGGAATGAGCACCGCGTTGGAGGCTGGCGATGAAGGGAAGCTGCGTGTTCGAATTCTAAGAGACGGGGTTCACGTGCTTTGATACCACGAGGTCAGTCGAAGCAGCGTCGAGAACGGCCCTTTTGCCAGTTGAGCTACTTGGCCTCCGCGCCCGCGATACGACTGGCATGACTATGGCCTCATTGACCCTTGAACGACACGCATGACGACTACGGTCTGGCCGATATTAGCCAGGATGTTTACTGCTGAATTGGGATAATTTACTCCGGCCGTCACAAACAACCCCGGGGAGGGGGCGGTCTTTTTTTCTTGCGTTAATACCCATCCCACCGCGTTTTAATTTCAATTTACTATTCTACTCGAGGGCGTACCTAGGCGCACGTGTTACAAGGGGTTATCTGTGGTCCAGAGCCGATTTGGTGGTATGAGGTTCCTCTTAAGCGCGGAATCGTGGGCGAATTGTCTATTGGGGCTTGAGGGGAACGGTCCGACTAGGAGTTTGGGAGTTGTGGAAGAGTGTGGACAGACAGGATGAAGCGCGGCGGCTAGTAAGACGGACGGACGTGCGAGATGGTCGTGCGCTTGGCTCCTACCGAGTCCTACGCCGGAAGGGGTCCAATTCAGTTTTTACTTGAAGACATTGCCAAGAGCTTCACGGTCTCTAATCCTAGGCTGCGGGACCTTCTACAATGGGATAATGGCAGTCTGCTCTACATACGAGCTGTGAGGTTGGGTTGCTCACCGGTTAGTGACCTGGAGGCGGTGGGCGGTGGGAGGTGGTTTCAGGGCGAGCAAATCGCAGGCGGGTCGGAGACGGGTAGGGCAGGCGGATATAGATACGATATAGTAGGGTTAGCGGAGCTGCGACGAATCACAGCGGGTATGGAGGCACATACGAGTGTGTCGCGAGTGGCCGTTGCGTCGATGGTCGTGAGGGGCCTCCCATTCGGACCGACGCACGTATACGGGTTACAGCATGTGACAACCACAGACACACGTGCAGCAGCAAGCTCCGAGCAGTGATTGTTGATTACGAATTGGATTGGATTGGATTGGATCGGATTATATAGATAGTCCTACGTATGTATGTAGGTAGGTAGGTAGCTTGCTAGCGATGCGTTGGCGCGGCGCGGCGTAGACGGACGTAAGGGCGATCTTCAACGTTACGCGGTAGGGCTATATCAAAATAATAACGATAATAAATACCATACGGCGTTGTTTGAACCAAACTCAACAAACCTGGTTTTTCTTCTTCTTGGTTAAGTAGTATCTAATGTACTATTTCCGACTTTTGGCTTCTTGGTTGGAGGAGTCGTACTGATAGTGTAGTGGCTGTTATTATGATGTCGAGCATTGGTTAGGTAGGTAGGTATGTATCTATTGTACCTAACATAACGTACGGTAGCGCATGTAGGTATGTATCCAGGCCCTAGGTTGGGCTACCTTATCCCTACTCCCTACTCCCTATCCGCTATCCGCTATTCGCTATGACACGCGTCCGCGCGGATGCCGAGTGGCTGGGTAAGGATCCGGCAGTCTGGCGGTAACAGCACGTGGGCCCCCTTCCCCCTTCCCCCTTCCCTACATACGTACGTACGTACGTACGCCCCTAAGCAAGGGATACAGGTATCATCTATCCTATGGGGATTTTGTTCTTTTTCGACCACTATGTGTGTAGATTCCATTTCCATTTCCATTTCCATTTCCATTTCCATTCCCGACTTTTATCCCCTTTTATTCGTTCACGCACCACTTTACTAGATTTCGTATTATTACTCTCGACTCGACTCGACTCGACCCTACAGAGCAGGCCGTCCATTTCTTCCCCTTGTCTACGCCGTCCCGTCTGCTGTCTCGAGTGAGCTCTCGCATCTATCATAGCTGTATGAATTCTCTAGTAGTTATAGTATTAAAGTCCAACTCAGGTTTCCACGTGCCTCACTATAACCTATCTCAATCGAGATATCTACCGGCTTCTTTCCCTCGCTTATCTCACCTTAGAAGGCTGAACGGGCTCATGGCCTTCATGTCGGGGCTGCGCGGGCTCATCGGCAGCGCAAACAGTTCATCTTCCGTCTCTTTGGTCTGGGTCGCGGGCGGTGGTGCAGCGACTACTTGCTTATTCCCGCCGAGGACAGCATCGAGGGACGCTACGTTACTAGTATCTGCACCCGTCCTTAACGCTGTTGTCTCTTTCCTGCCTGGAGGAGGCGGGTCGCGCTTTGGAATATATTGGTTGTGTTGATGCGAGTAGTGAGCACCTAGAGGCAAGGTAAGTTTGTATGTAACATAAATAGTAATGCGTTTAGGGCCCAAGTAGGTGGGATTTCCAGAATCCCTGTAACCAATTCAGAGAAGGAGTAGAGAACAAGGGGAGAAAATGATTACCTGAGTGATTGGCCAAGTCCGAAGGCGAAGTCGCCAGCTTCAGCCCCTTCAACTTCTCGCCTAGACGACCACCTATCGGGGAGCGCGGGCTCTGCAGAGGTGCCTGAGATATAGAGTCGGTACCAGCGGCGTTGAAGCTAGCCTCGGGAACGCGGAGATCATCGAGACCGAAGTGGTCGATGATCCAGAGGCGTTCCTGGACAGCCATCTCGAGCCCCACGCTCTCGCTATTGTCGCGGAGCTCAGCACGGATCTCGTCCTGGAGCTGTCCGGCTCGCAGCCGCGCCCATACCGTGTGCAAAACGCCGCGGCGGCCCGCATCACGGGACCCGATCCCGAGTCCCGGCGCGAAGATAGCCGGCATCGCCTTAGCCATCAACGCTCGGCCCGAGCTGGTGTGAGAAATGGTTACTATGGGGGGTACTGCGGCATCCGAAGGCAACAGGAAGTAAACGCGTTGCCGGCGCTTATCTTTCTTCTCAATATCCTCTTCCTCGTCTTCCACTCTCTCGACGACCGGAAATGTCGTCGTCTTAGTTTCCCACGTCACGACCCAACCGTCCTCCCCAGACGGTGTTGGATCCCATTCCACCATAAGGATCTTGGATCCCTCGTTTCCGCGGCCGGCCTCGAATTCAAACCGCGCGAAGGCGTTTGGCGAGGCGGGCGATACCGGCGAGTCTACTACGTCCGGTTCCGAGGGGGCGAAGGACGACGGGGCAGCTGGTTCGGGTATCCGGAGGGAACCGGACCCGGACGAGGTCGGCTGACTCGGTGTAGGATCCATAGCCATATGTGTAATTGTGTGTGCACAAGCCCGGTAGCCCGCTTTGGGTGAGAACGAGTGTGAGGTTACCCCCCGAGGTGTGTAAGTAGGGTAGAGGACAGCCGCTAGGAGCGCATCGAAAGCCAATGGAGATGGCTAAATGGGACGGTCTCTCGAAGGGGGGAGGGGGGAAAGGAAAGGAGCGCGCGTCTGGCGCAAGAGGATGGATAATGGACCAATGTTCCCCGAATACGCGCCGCACACACGCACAAAACTTACTCGCGCAGCCGCGCAGCGAGGGAATAATCTGTCAAGTTGTCTCGGGAATATTGTGTAGCGGTGGATGAATCTACTGGATAATATCAAGCGGCAGCGGTAGGGCCAGCAAGGCAATGTAGGCTCCCTTCTTGGCTACTGTCACTACTCCTCATGCAACGTATACATCGGCAGTTGAGAGACGGCGATGGAGAAGAGGAGGGCAGATCAGGTTTCAAGTCGCAAGCAAAGATGAAGCGAAAGCTGAATTGTTATGCCTTAAAGCTTCAACAACAGCGCGGGCCTACCAATAAGGGTACGGGTGAAGTGGAGTTGAAAAAGAGGCTATCTAGGTGTGTAAATTATAGAGCCTTGGATAGTAATAAAGTGTAGAATTTCCCTTTGGCTCTCCTAGACGCGACTACTAACTAGGTACCTAGGCTCACTCGTGTAGTTTGAAATGGGGCTACTATACGTATGCGGGCGGGTATGAGCCTAGGAGGTGAGGAGTAGTAGGCGGGGAGAGGAACGAGATAGAAAGAGAGAGATCGAACAGTTCTTTTTTCCCCAAGCGACGACTCTCGTGGCAGAAAAGGGAATGCTCGACGTCTTGGCGGCGATGATGTATAGTACGAAAGAGGAACACGTAGGATGAGCGAGGCTCGCTATGTCGAGCGGTGTTTCTAACAGCCATTCAGCTCATTTTGGAATGATATCCATGTAACTCCCAAGTACCTATAGTAAGGGGACGTCAGTGACAGCGGGGGGGTTAGGAACGCCATGCCATGAGCGAAAGCGAGTTAGTGAATAGAAAGTCGTGCCAATGCGCGCATACATGTGGCTTTCTAAAAATAGATGATAGACGACACCCACGCAGCCAACCCGTCTGCTCGTTGGCTCGGGGCTAGTCGGTCGTTGATTTCGGATGCGTGCTAAGGAGAAATCGGAAATTGGGGAAGAGCTTTTTAGGTGAGACTCGCGAGTTGTGTTGATGTTCCTTCGACAACGAACTTCCTGATCTGTTCGTTAGGTGAAGCTGGGATGCCGAATCCATCCTTGGGAATCCCAGCAGATCCCAGCAGATCCCAGCAGATCCCAGCAGCTTGGCTCCTCGTGCTTCTCATACATAGGTAGTACATAGTATGCTAGAAAAGAACCCAAAGAAGCCTTATCTAGAATCATTCTAGACGCCTGCACGCCTGCACGCCTGTACGCACACGCGTCCCCGTGTTTAGGAATGTAGGGATTCGGTTTAGATCAACTCCGAATCGGCAAGTCGATCGAGCTTCTTAATAGGGCTGATTTCCCAGCACCATGTCTTTTCTACGTCGCTTGCTAATTGGTGGCCCTTTCTACACAAATGTGATTCGACGAGATTCGTATGGTTGGTATACAGTTGCTTTGGGTACAGTTGCTTTAGTTAAAGGCTTGGGGAGTTGCTTTTAAGGGGCGGAGGCGGGCCGCTATTAGTAGCGGGGAGACACAGAAGAGCAACTTGTCAACGACGATTAGGGAGAGACAGCGAAGCTAGAAACGACTGCCGCTTTACACCATAACCTCAGGGGATGATACGAGCTGTAGGCTAGCTCGCGTCATGGATACTGTCTCCTGTTGTGTGCCCATTATCTCTCTCGAGGATTGGTTCGCTTGGTTTCATCTTGAACATCAAGTATAAGCTCATCACTAGAATGTTTATCGCTGTGCCTCAGCTGGCGAAACAAGTAAATGAAACGCATGATAGATCATGTCCACATGAACAACAATGCCACACCGAAATCACCGAAATCACCGAAATGCGCTAAACGTCGCCTTATGGTAGCGGGAAGAGATAGCCGGCTTCTAAAGGACAAGCCTAGACTGAGAGTACCGCGCCGGAAAATAAAAGCCACCATG